AATTCGTTCTTATTGCGAAATAGGAGCACTATTTATCAATCTGTAATAAAAGACGTGAGGAAATTCTGTCTTTTTTAAAGACAAAAATTTTTGAGCCAAAATACCCAAAAAGAAGTTTGTAAAAAAATGAAACCGCCTCAATAATATAGAACTTATCTACAAATCAAGGGGAGTTCTCAGTCGAATTAAAAATATATCTCATTTTGAAGTTGTAGAAGCATCGACCAGAGTCCTAGTTGCCCATTCTTGGCTTTTTTGTGTTTTTTGGGGGAAAACCTTAAAATTTGCGTGCTTGTTTCAACTTGAACATTTTTAAGCAAGAAGTGCTTCACTGATTAGTCGATCGATCAGCCCAAATGGCCCCACATAATGGCATTGTTTGCAATCCACAATCAAACCGCTCCCACTTCCAGTTGCCAGAGTGCAATTTAGGATACGGAAATCTAGACACTTAGCGTTAACTGGATGAAGCAAATGAGCGCGCTCGACAACTACCAGAACAAATTCGAGAAATAAATCACTTCTAACGAATGAACGTCTGGCAAATAGCGGTAAAAACTGGAATATTGCTGCCGATAAATCCGGAATTGCCATTATGCAAAGCGGCAATAAAATGCTGCCTTCCCATCATATCACAACTCCTTCCATGCATACATCATACCTCGAATTCCATTTCGCGAGGTATTAGCGGCTTTTGCTTCCCTAAGCTGTTCCTCCAATAGAATGGGAACATGGATGCAGTTGCGTTCCGACGCTGCTCAAAAATTTCCGACTGCTTTCCAGACTATAATGTTTATGGCCAAAGTGCCCTGGATTGAGGCCGAGGATTAGTTTCTTTCTCAAATTGGGCCCATCCCTCATCTTTAAACGGACGCCCTACAACGCCATCAAATCGGCCGAAGACATTTTGAAAATCCATTCAAAGCACAGGGAGGAAAGGAGATTATTCTTTGGGAATTTCATCCATAAGGGGCTGTTTTCCTGGGGTCTCAATGACCAGCTGCTGAAGGGTTTTTTCGAAACTTTTATTTCGGTCAATAGAGGGAATAGTAGGACCAATGTGGCCACGACACTGACCAAGCGCACCTCGCTTAAGGTGCCCGCCAGGCACTGTTGCCGATATCGATCGCGCGACGCTCAAAACCAGCGTCGCGACGCGCGCATTTCACTAGGACGCCGTCCTATTGCCAACTCATCCAGATTTCCCCGGAGTCCAGACTTTGAGGCCTTGCTCCTCAACTCTAGATCTTCGGGAAAGTTGCATTTTCATGTCAAAGAACATTTTTCCTGTCCACTAGCAGGCGACTTTCAGTGTCTTTTAGACTCATTGTCAATTTTCTCTGGATTCCGACTTGAAAGTGAAAGCTCCTTCCTGCACCCAAAATCCTGCTGAATCGCTCCGGCAACACGGCGATCAGCATTAAGTCCAACTAATATCAGCAAGCCTGCCTCAAAGCAGTCACCTAGCGGGAGTGTTTAGCTTGCCGATCGTTCTTCTGTCCGCTGAAAACGCCGTAGTGTCCGTTCGCGAAAAAACTCCAGAATGGCAAGTTTGTCGGTACCAAACGGGCCCCGATAGGAAAACAAGAACTTTCCCAATTGTCGCGCTCTGTAAAGCCGCGTCGGCCCCGAAGAAGTAAAGACCAGTGTGGGACTCTGCGCTTCTAAAGTGGGTTACATACATGTCTTTTGCTTATTAGGTAGCTAATTCTAGTGCTAAGGACACAATCCCGTTTTCCATTTTCCATCCAGCAATGTTTGCACCTCTCAAGCTACCAAATGGCACGACTATGCGCACATCAACAGTTTGATGGGGGCCCAAACCGCTGTTTTTTGTCGCAAAAAGTTTAGTCCAACACGACTAAATCGGGTGGAGCAACAGGCCCTATGTCCAAGACAATGAGGGCCGAGTGTGACGTCAGGGCGTCGATTTGCCTGACGTCGCTTTTTACATGATCCGCCAGATGAAGGGAATCCCAAAAAGACGGTTTTAATTTGAATTGACGGGAAGCTTGAATAAATTCAGACCGACTATTCATTTTTAATCAAGCGGCTTTTCCATAATAAATGCTGGCGTGGGGCGAATTCGAGGTTGTTTTCATAACTAAGCAGTTGATGGGGCGTCTTTGCACATTTTTTTCCATCCTCCATTCAATTTGAGGCCGAGAAAACTGGAAAAAGAAGTCCAAGTGGCCAGTTGCTATTGAACAATGTCTGGCTCAATTGTAAGCTCAACTCTTAACTGTTATTCGGACAATTCGGTTTTTTACCGCGTTTTATTCGGTCAATGGATGGATTGTATAAAAAGCCCTAAAGTCCAGTCATGGAAACATGTTGATATGGAATGGAAAAAACGATTAGAACCATCGATCCCCCCGAAGGTCTATCCATAATAAGTGTGGGTTCAAGGAGGAATTTGTCCGTGAAAATGCTCAATAGTCAATAAAAGCGAATGGCACGAAGCAAACGAGGCTGGACAATGTCCAACTGGTTGTCAGGACAGAGAAATGGAAATTTATCGATAAAAATTCCGCAATTGTGGGTGCCAGAATGTGTGTGCTGCAATTGCTAATTTTACACTCCCCTATGCAGACAACGGTCCTTTTATATGGAAACTGGATAGTTTTCCAAGCGCGCTTCTTTGAGCCGCTGGATTCTTGACCTGGATAAAAAACGCTGGGGGCTCAAGTAACAGCCGCCCGCCCGTTCACATCAAACTATGCTGGAACGTGAATGAAACTCGCATTTGAAACAAATAGGAAAATTCCCCGAAATTCTCCGATCTAAATTAAAACTTTCAATCCATTTATTTATCCCGCTCCGCTCACCTTCCGATCAATTTTCTTTGCAGAAATAAACTCGACTCGTCAATCGCTGATAGACGGACGGACGTTTGAAATCTCTATCGAAAACAGTTTTACCGAATGAGTTTGATTTTAAAATACATTTCCCGGGACTTATTGGAAAATTGCGGGCAAATCGAGTTGGGTCTGGCGACGGGAAGATCGGCGTTTTCTGCGATTTAAGAGAAATGCCGACAGGCATGATTACTTCATTTAGTTCGCTTTAACTGTGCCAATTTGATCGATTGCATTCAATTAGGTGGAGATTTTTATTATGAGGAGAATCTAGAGGTTCGAACCAAATGGGGGTCAAAAGTCCGTTGATTTGGAAACATTTACCGCGTATTTTCAGTTAAATACATTCGACGGCTTTCGCAAACTATAAAGCGCGATTTTAGTGTTTTTTGATCGATCTCTCTTTCATCGCTGTTTATTTTTAGACCCTTAATTAGTGGAGGAATTTATTAGGCAGTCCATAAAACTTCTGGAAATTAGGCATCGAATTAAACCAAAAAAATACACATCGTACCGACATCGATTGACGAGCGGATTTTAGGCGCAGATATTCGCCAACATCTGAATATCAAACACGGCAATTGTATGGGAATCTCATTGATTTCGATCAGAAAGCTACTTGATCCAAGAGAGCCACTAAGTGGGCACAGTACACAAGCCACATGTTTTGGATTGCAATCAAGTGAGCATACAATTCAGCAACAAAATGAGGCTAAATGTCTTGGATGGGGTCCAACAATTTGTCACAGACATACACACGCTCAATCGATAAACAAAACGCCGATTGCCGAAGATCCGGGAATAAAAATGATCGTTTTCAATGGGGAAAGTCACCTGGTTGGGGTTCTACCAGTGCACGTAAAAAGTCGCCAGATACAGATACACATGGGAATGGATTACTGTTGCTGGCCAGCAACTGTTTTTTCTGGATTAGGATAAACGAGCACAAAACCTGAGGATTTATCGCCAAGGCCCCAATCCAGGCCGAGTAGGAAGACATGTTGCCATGTCACCATTATCTACGCCCCTCGATTTTCGGTTAGCCGATCCTTTGTCCTATTTTTACACCCCATCGCTTAGGTCCAATTATGTGATTGTCGTAATGGCCTGGATAAATGCGATTATTCAACGCGAAGCGCGCCGTTTTTACGTGATAATTTCGACCACTCGACACGAATGGAAACTCCGACATTAAATCATCAACGTTTGCACGTTCATCGAATTAATGACGACAGTCGCAGCTAAGGCTTAATTAAAATTTACCTCGCATAGCCAGGTCATGGCGACATGTCACCACACCATCTGAAGACGATTGCTTTGACCCGAAACCTTTTCTGCCATGTTTTGACACCATTTTGGGGTCTTTAGTCCAGCAACGCCGCCGTTAATGTCCAATTTGCCATCGTGCAATCAACGATTCCCACGCAAAACACTACAATCAATCATCCAATGCCCGGCCTGGAATCTATCCATTTCCAGGATAATATTTTGCCATGATTCCGACTCGGGCACCATCAATATTTACGTTCGAGTTGTCGATTCAAAGTGATTTTTAACAATGCTCAAACTAAACAACATATCTAGGTGCTAATCTAAATACATGAATCAGTTGGGCATCGATAAAAACCGTGTTTGTTTTTGCTGGTGATTTCTGGAAAATTGATTTCCACATCTCGGCCGCGGCGATTAATTGACCCGTGGACTTGACAAAGGCATTCGATCGCATCACACAAACCGACCTGTGTTATCAAGTTGTCTGTTGCCACCTCTTTACCAAAACAATGATTTAGTAAAATGTGTGGGGGCATTCTTTAAAAGCTGACCATCCATAACCAATCGTTTCAATTGTTGCAGAGTAAAAAACGAGCCAGAATGGGCTGCTTCGGAAGCAAGGACAAGCTCTCCAAGGAGGACATGGACTTTTTAAAGTCGCACACCCGATACGACGAAAGTACCATCAAGGAATGGTACAAGGGCTTCAAGGTACGTGCAAATTTCCACAATTTTGCTACATGTACAGGGTGTCCCATTTTTGACACTTTTTAGGTTATCTTCGCAAATTTTCGTCCTATCAAAAAAGTAGTGCAGGTGTCATGTGCTCTTTTTAACAAAAGTAACAAATTAAGGATTAACACGCACATAGCAAAATGATATTCCCAGAATATACCTGGAACATTCATGTGATGTACATGCATATTCCTGGGACATACATGAGTTCCATTATGAACATTCTATGTATGTCCCAGGAATCTGTCAGAGTTAATACACTGTATGTTCATGGTATGTTCTGGGAATGTACATGGTATGTTCAGTGAATGTATATGGTATGTTCAGGGAATATACATACATATATGTAACGAAAGAAAAACGATCCTTTATTCCATCTTATTAGTTTATTCACATATTTAAGTATTTACTGATGTAATTTTTCAACAACAAGAGTTACTTACAACTAATCTAAAACTAATTAAATGGATAATAAATAAATTAAAATATAACTTATAACTACGGACTAAAAATCTAAATGAACATTTTCAGCATTTTTGCTGTTGTTGCAATGATGTGTGACAGTGAGATAAAACACAATTCTTTATCTAAAAAACTGCACTTATTTTTTTATTGCTTACATGTTCCCGCTCTGTGGCTTTTGGCCTTTCATTTTGTTCTCGATCAACTAAAGTGTTTTGCAATATGCTCTTAACAAAAATTCTATAAGCAATTACAAATTTTAATATTGGTCTCTACAACAAAATACAGTTAATAGTTTTACATTGATAGAAGAGTATTTTCGTTCATCCACTATTGTGTAGAAATACAGTTAGGTACAGCAATTTGCATTGATACATTACTTTCATTTTACTTTTGTTGCTTTCCTTCGATCCAAGAAAATATGCTTATCGCAAAATAGAAATCAACCAAAATCAAATTGGTAAAAATAAAAAAATACAGATAATAGTTTTACATTAATAGAAGAATAATTAGGTTCAGACAACCTTGCTTGTCTCTTATGCGAACCTTTTTCGTGTGTGGTTTTCTCACGTGATCCCTAGCGACTTCAATGCTTCAAGTCCAGAACAGCGGTATCACCTGTATGTTTAGAATAAGAAATAATAAAATAATCAAATGTATTTAATTTAAACACCAACATACCTTTACATGTTTGCGGGGTTTTAAGCCATAATTATACCGTAATTACCGTCTTGAAGGCACATCATAACACTGAGGCACAAGCACGGTTTTTATATTTTAACTTGTGTTTATTTTATCGCATCGACTAATATGGATTTTTAATATTCTCAAGTTTTCGAAAAACACGTGATGCACGTGACCAGATATAAACATAGATAAAGGCAAGCAGCAGTTGTCTTCTGCTCCAATGTCAATCATGGAAAAGTGCTGAATTGTCACACCCCGGATATCACATCACTGATAAACCGATATTGACAAAATCTAAATTTTGTATTGCTTAGAAAGACAGTATTCTAGTAGCTAATTAATCTACAATCATATAGATAATTTAAAAAATCAAGATTTGTGTAATAGCACATAATAATTTGTTTATGCTAATAACCAATAAATTATAAGCTTTGCAGCTTTTCAGAAATTCTGAGAGCTTTGGCGTTACCGCCAAACAGCACTGCGTGAAAGATGATTCTCATTGGTCCGCTCTCATTGTCACTCTCGAAAGTCACGTTATAGCCGGACGTAATCCGTGTACACACTAAGCGGGTAATTTGAATTTGTTATATGCATTTTAATAGTTTGAATTTCATAGGGTGGGAACTGGTAGCTCCGGATAAATTTATTTGAGTAATATAGAAATTTTATTAATATTGCCCAATAAAATTATAACGTTGACGCATTTAAAAAGACAAGTTTATATAAACACTTGTACGTGCCCTTACTTTTCTGCTGCGGGCACGCAAAATTTATTTTCGATAAATTTTGTTAATTTGTTAATCAAAACATATATTTTCAGTATTTCATAAGGGTCTCAGGTTTTAGTAGTAAGAAGATTAACTTTTACATGCCCTTACTTTTCTGCTGCGGGCACTCAAAATTTATATTCAACCAATTTGGAATATACCGTAGATATACATTCATGTATATTACCGGAATATTTGTTTTGAACATACTAAGTATATTCACCTGCACATATACACAATATGTACATACCTGGCATGTTCATCTGCACATATACCCAATATGTACATATATGTACATACCTAGGATATACTTTTTATGAACTTTGATGAATATATATGCATGTATATTCCACGAACATTCATGTTAGGAATGTTCAACCATGTATATTCCCAGGATATTCATAGAATATCAAATGCTATCTGGGCATGACTGAAATCTGATACAAGTGGCAAGAAAACAGCCATATTTTTTTGCGCAAAAACTATGAATGCTACGAGATTTTACAAAGAGCACAAAATTGTGAATAAATGATTAGTGCATCAACCAAAAAAAATGAGTTGATTCAATCCGCCAAATAAAAAGTTCTGGTAGTTTTTGTACCACGACACTCAAGAATTCACCACTTGTCCAAAACGGATAAACTCGATTGTTTCATCAAAACATGAGTCTTATATACGAACTAATTCACAGCGAGTTTCACTAAGAAACCAGACATTTTTGGAAAATAAAAGTTAGGTCACATCGTCTTCTTTTGATGCAAAGAATATCGCAGTATCATTTTGATCATGTGTTTACGGGATCCCTGTATATGTATTTTAATGTTAAAAAGAGCACAGGCCACCTATACAACGTTTTACGGGTACGCCCCTCTACAGGGGGCCATTAATCAAGATTTACGTGCATGTAAATCGGGAATTATTCGCCGTTTAATGGGCAAACAATCGTAAAAACTCGACACTCAAAATCGCCCCTGTATAAAACAATGAGCCAACTTGACGGCAAACAACAGCTAAACTGAACACGTTCAATTTCCAATTAGCGTTTCGTTTCGAGATATCGGAGCGGCCACGTTCCTCGAGTGTTGCCAAAGAGGTTCTCTGCTCGAGATAAAAGAGATACAGAGCGAAACGCTAAGTGGAAATTAATTCTCCTTGATCCCCGGCAGACGCTAAACGAATTTCACGATTTCCTTCAGGGGATTTAATCGAAGGAAATTGACTTGACTGAGAGGAGAACGAATTTCCTTGGGAAATAAGCGGCCATAAAACCCAAAAACGAATCCAGCATATGACACATATTTGAACAATTCGCAGTCAACTGTAATGTTGCAGAGGAAAAAAGATCGGTTAAAGTTCACTGTTAGAAGCCATTAATGAGATTTATCGCGTCCGCTATTTCCAAATGGGAATTCTTCTGCTATAAATGAGCCTCGATTAGGATGCAACGTCTTTACTGGCACAAGCCCATCAGTGGCGTAGCCTTAAAGCGAAACCAACCCTTTTGCTGGAAAGTTCGGTAATTGGCTCAAACTCAATGGCTCTTTCGAGCCAAAAAAATCAATTGGTAAATTATACCCGGCTTTTATTCGCATCACGAGTTCAAAAACCGTATTCCTGTGAATACTAAATGGATGATTCGTTCCTTTTCAGCAAGACTGTCCGAATGGTAGACTGACCCCGGCCAAGTTCGTAGACATGTACAAAATGTTCTTTCCCAGTGGCAATGCGGAGGAGTTTTGCGACCATGTCTTCAGAACATTCGACATGGACAAGAACGGATATATCGATTTCAAAGTAAGTGAAACGGGGAGAGAACGTGTAGCAAAGGATGTGTTCAACACCAAGGCATCGATCCAGGGCAACTAAACCTTAAACAAAGAGAGGCAAATTCGTGCTCGAGCTCAAGACGAGAACTGGTGAAGTCGGAAAACATCTTAAATAATTTATTCGCGTGGATGTTGGGAAAAACAGGGAAATTCGGGTCGCCGACCACCCCGGGGCGGCAAATGAATCAATGTGGGACAGGCAGGGGCGGCCTGTACTTTTAATCGAGCCCCCATTACATTTGTTTTCCGACTTCATTTTTAGTGACTCAACCGATTTTCAGGAATTCCTTCTTGCCATTGATGTCACGTCCAGTGGCACGCCGGAAGAGAAACTGAAATGGGCCTTTCGAATGTACGATGTGGACGGAAACGGCGTCATTGACATTCAGGAAATGACCAAAATTGTCCAAGTAAGTCGTAGGTACAACTACCTAAACCTAAAACATTCCCACCCTTTCTGGGGGCCCTTTGCACGCAGTTAACTTAACGGATTCATGTGACAAAGTGGAACAGCTACTTAGCCGGTTCGATCATCGGTCGGCTGGTCAAAGGGTTAAATCTGCGGCCAAATGATCCACATCGTTTCCTTTCCATGAAAGGTCGTTGCGGGGTCCTTGGGGAGCCCGAAATAACGATTCGGGCGCCTCCGCTGGATCTTAATTACATCAATTTTCATCAGGTCGCTTTTGCAAAATGGGCGATCGTGAGCATGAAAAGATGGCAATTTTCCCACTATATCATCAGATAGACTGCAGTTTCGTAATTAGCAAATACAAGGACGGCCCTTTGCCTTTGTTAGAAGCTCGTCATTAGACGCTAATGTGCTGAAAGTATCGGCACCTAATAATACGTGACGTTCGCGTTTTATGAAGCCAACCCCAAATGGGGGCGAGATATTTATCAAAATCTGTTGACAGTTTGGCTGCCGTAAGGGCTTTTTGCCCAGCCGCCTATCTATTCAATCTTAACAAAGATCTAAAAGTCATTTTTCGCCCCAATATCCTAACTTTTTCACCTCACTGCACGGCTTTCGACCTAAGACACGACAGTTTCTATAAGAAAATATCTCAACCGATCCTCCCTTGTAGTTCCCACCTGCCTAATCTGAGGTTGAAGCTCTTTTTTTCTTCAATCATAAAGTTTCTTCATCTTTCAAATTTCAATAATAGACGTTTTCTGAAAACGTTATTCTTACTGCGCCTCTCTCATAGAGGATGTTAAAAATATGAGGGTTAATGTGTACCGGCTACAGCTAAACGAGCTTTTTAAACACACTATTTTAAGGAGCCTTAACTAGTTCAAATTATATTCAATTCCATCAAATACTTTAAAAGTTTTTAAACAAAACCCGATTTTCATAATGGCCTTTTAAGGGCCTATATCGTTCTAGGGAATATCTGTATACGTATACACCCTGCTAGTCAGTTCAGAAAGATCAACGATAGTTCGTATCAGAAAAGTCTAGCGTGCTTCTTTCTGAGCTCTTATCGTTGGCTCCCTTGCGATACAAATAACTCTGAGCGATTTGACTGCTTCGCAGAAACATCGTATTCTGGGCTGAACACCTTTTTTGCGAATCCATCAAAACTGATCGAGCATTTCTATTCGCAGGCAATCTACGATATGCTGGGCGCTTGCTCGTCTAATCGACCAGTCGATTCGGCCGAAGATAGAGCGAAAAACATCTTCGCCAAGATGGACGAGAACAACGACGGACAACTCACTCAGGATGAATTCCTCAAGGGTTGTTTGCAGGATGAAGAACTGTCCAAAATGTTGGCGCCTTAGGGGTGTCTACTGAAAGATTTGTTTGTTGAGATGGCAAAGTGGCTTTCGAATGTTATGGGGTAATTCGTGGTAGATTGCCATCACTCTCTAATCGGGCACTATTTGAAAAACATTCGATTGCTTTAACTGAAACCATCCCAAAACACGGTTCAAAGCCCATTCGGCTATTCTCAATCTTCGGGCAAAACATTGAGCGGCCTCCCTTAAAAAGGCTATAAAGCAACTGGCACAATCGTCTGTTGAGAATTAAAAGACTTTATCCTATCTATTGATGTACGTGGTTTTTGGGGACGTTTGAGCGATTCTTCATTGAATCAGCTGCGCTGTTCAAAATGTTCGAAAACAATTAACACAACCTCTCTTCGACTCAACACTGTAATACTCTTAAATTAGCTGGAATAGCCAAGTTTTAAGCTTTAAAATCAAATGTACTTAATTGTCTGTCACTAGCAGTATGAATAATGCACAACAGTTTTCCGGGATTATCGATTGCGGATTGAAAAAAGCACAACATATCAAGAACCAAAAAAAGCCGCACATACACACACTCATGCATAAATTTTCCTGGTATTTTAATCCGCAATCTGCATTTAAATAGCTCTAACTTAGGATGTATCATAGACTTCTAGTGAATATTTACTCAGAAACTAGTCCACTCAGTATTTCAGCTGATGGGTCTCAGAACGCATCGGCGAAATACTGAATCCCGCCTAGTCCCAAAAGGACCATATTCTGATGACCGGCTAGGACCAGAGTATAGTCTGCGACTCTATCTACCACATAGACATCACAAACTTTTTTATACACTATCTATTTTACGAACCCAGTACCTTTCTACCTAATCTATCTATACGTTCTAAGGACCCAATATCCATGTTTTTTTGTCATTTTCATGCCTTTGCGCTTGATTTGTGTATTAGTATTGTGTTTAGTTTTAGAATTCGGGCCGCTAATCATACAGGGCTCGCATAGTGTTCCGATTATAAATGGCAACAATTGGCTTTGACCAGCTGGAAAGAAATTTTACTTGCGTGGTTTCCGCTTCGCGTTTTGCGGTATAATAAAGCGCAACAAAAAAAACTGCAAGGGAGGCGTGAAGCGCAAACCACGCAAGTAAAGTTTCAATCAAGTCGAGTGAATACACACCCAAAGTTCATAGCAAAATTTGGAAAATGCACACAATGAGGACACAACGAGAATAACCCCAGGCATTGGACTAATGTGCCCCCATCTCTCTTCCCCTTGGCCGATGTGGATCTACATTGTCTTTTTCTGTAGCACGGGACGTTGTATCAAACGGGCGGTTTCCAAGGTGATACTGAACCATAAATCGGCCTTTATTGGATATTTTGCACGTAAAGCAAGCAAGTGCAAGGAAATAAGGCTTTTGAATCGATGCTAAACATGCTAAACTTGTCGCGACACGAAACGCCCTTCTACTGTTTAAAATTCAGTTAAATCCAGCTTACCAGCGCGTTAATAGCTTCGGTGGCTCCCGAGGGCAATTGTTCACACTGTTCAACAGATTCAAACAGTTTTTTTGTGGAATTTTGCAAAATTTAACGCGACACCATACATAAATGACATTTGTCGAAATATTCTGCTGATTTTGGCATTTGTTGTCATTGATAATTGGTGAGTCCGCATGCCTGGTTGCCTAGATTGCAACTATTTACTGAGGCGATCGGTATGGCGGGATAGAAACTAGTCCATTATTAAGTAAATTGAGAAAAAAGCCGCATTGCCTCTGTAAATTCGGGCTTTTCATGTTCCATAGCTGTAAATATAACGTTCGTTCGAGGAAAAGCACTCAGCGAACGAGGTAACCGAGATGTGATAGCAACATCATCCACATATTCTGTTCTATTCATTACTCTCTTGGTCCATATTTTTCTACTTGCACGCGATCTATTACGAAAAAGCATTTACATTTGATGGATGTAAGCTTTTTTAAAAGCTCTCTAAATGTTCTAGATGTTGTAGTGTTTAAGGATTTATCATAGCCCTAATATAAACCTACCTAGTATTATTCAAGCGCTTGGAGCTTTCCAATTTCCGAAAACAGCAAATCATTGGCGCAACATATTGATTGAACTGTTGCTACTTTGTATATACAGAAATGAAACCCTTATGTATTCGAACTTACGCACCAAGAATGTCAATTTATCCTATCTGTAAGGTAGTCTCACACTTTAAATGTAACTTTATGTTAAATTAATTAAACGTTAAGTGTATTGATGGTGTTAATCAGGGCCTGATTCACAGTGTTTCTTTAGACTAACGTAAGCAAAAGGCAAAGGATTCATAAGTATATCTCTATGTGGATGTAAAAATATAAACCCTAACGCTATTCCTGATCTTCTCCCATGGGCGTCTTTGATGGTACTTACGTATTCCCCTTAAATTTTTATCACTTAATACAATTTAATAATATGATAATTAAAACATGTCAGATATTTCGAAACGGTGTTTACTTTAATGGGCTCACTCTTTCGCTCCACCACCTTGTATATACAGTTTCGATTGATGACACAGTTTTTTCTGTTTTTAGATCTAGTTATAGTGAGTGCTGCCAACCACGATTACGATGTGTATACGGCGCTAACCGACAAAAAAACTGCTTTGATACGAGGTGCGGTCAAACACCATTCTAGTCATGGGAAAACAGAATAGCAAACTGAGACCGGAAGTATTAGAGGATCTGAAGCAGAACACGGAATTTTCAGGTGAGCACACAAACCATCTGAAATGTTTCTAAGTAGAGATCAACAACTGGAAGATCTGCTTTTGAGGCTCGTTGAATGCAAAAAATTTGATCGATGATCGGTCAAAGTAAACGCGATTCTTTTTAGTGTTTTCGATGCGGCTATTTGCTAAAGGATTTGATTGTAGAACATATTGAAAGCTTTGCAAAAAAGTAGTGAAAACAATCGATAAAACTTCCATGTTTAGACGCGCTAGTTCAGTTGAAACATCAATTAATCAAGTGATTTATTTCATTTATGTCCTAGTAGATGCGGAAATCCAGGAATGGTACAAAGGGTTCTTAAAAGACTGCCCCAGCGGCCACCTATCGGTGGATGAATTCAAGAAAATATATGGAAACTTCTTCCCTTATGGCGACGCCAGCAAGTTTGCAGAACATGTTTTTAGGTAGGTAAATTATTCGAAAATTTTTGATTTGCAACCATAAATGCTTTGTAAACGTTCTGCTTCGAACCTTCCAGTACTCTTCGGCGGCGTTGAACTGCGCTTAAAGGCTTGCTCCTTTTGGTTATAGGCTCAAAAGGGTTGACAAAAATACAACCTGTTTGAGCCAAAAAAAAAATACAACCTGTTTGCCAGCCTCAAGCAGGTTGTATTTTCGTCAACCCTTTTGAGCCTATAACCAGAAGGAGCAAGCCTTTAAGCGCAGTTCAACCCCGCCGAAGAGTACTGGAAGGTTCGAAACAGGAAAGAACAACCTTTTAAAGTGTTGAAGACTTGCACCCTAAATCCAGTTGTTCCCTCTGAGTGAACAACCAGGACAATACACCCTTAAAACAATGTCTGGATTCTTCATTTATTTCCTCAGAACTTTTGATTCAAATGGTGATGGGACCATTGACTTCCGGGAGTTTCTCTGTGCGCTCTCAGTGACGTCTCGGGGAAAACTCGAGCAGAAACTGAAATGGGCGTTTTCGATGTACGACCTGGATGGCAACGGTTTCATTTCCCGACAGGAGATGCTGGAAATTGTTACTGTAAGCCGGCTCTTGGAGCGGAATTTATCTCTAAGTCATGAGCTGTTTTGTGTTTCAGGCGATATACAAAATGGTGGGTACCGTAATGAAGATGCCCGATGATGAGAGCACCCCAGAGAAGCGCACTGATAAAATCTTCAGACAGATGGACAAGAACCAGGACGGTATTCTGAGCCTCGATGAGTTTATCGAAGGGGCCAAGAGCGACCCATCGATCGTTCGGCTGTTACAGTGCGATCCTCAGGCCCAGTAATTGGGGCCTGTTCTCTCATTTTCCATCTTTTCTACTCTCGCCTCCCTAATTAAGTAAAACGTCTCATAGGTTAAGAAGTTTCCTATTCTACACCGCTGGGCAGCCAAGCCACGGGACATTTTGTGTTAAAAAATGTCCCGTGTTATTATGATTTATTATTATTATTTATATTTACTAGAAGTGTTGGTCTGTTTGTTTGAAAATTGTTTCGCCATTTTGTCCTAAGTGGCAAAACAATTTCCAGTCATTATTGCGGCAATTTAGTTTTCCTATGTACGATTACATTGATATACTGAAACCAGCACTTGGACTAAGGCGCTAGAGGAAGGATTTCTGCTAAAAAATCGAAGTACCTACTATAGAAATAATACGAATAGACTAAATATCGCATACTTACTCCATTTGAAATGATATTTCCAGAATATATATTCAATAATGTATCATGTAAGTGTTAATGTTTTCAAATTTTTAAATGTGATTCCAAAGCTGGGGAAAGTGCCGACGGCAACACCCAGCAGCCGATTTGCCTGCGGCCACTTTCCAGCCCAGTTTAAACTCTATTAGTGTGTATAAACTTACCTTCTATCACTTTCTACTTCCTTATATTCGTGAATTTCCAAAACAATTTAGAATCGATGTGACTCAGGACTTGATCAAATCAAAACCAATTATCTCTATCACTCCTGATATCAGTGCTTAGTTAGCTATACGTTTATGTGAAAAAAAGAGTTCAAAAACATGGCCTAAAACGCTGTTTCATAGATTTTTGATAGTCTAAAGATTAATAGGCTAGTTGGACATGGGTTTACACTGTTAAGCTTCAGAATTTGGCGGGATGTTACCATTAATTGCCTTTCAAGGGACATATTTAATTAAAGTGTCTATACAAGAGTGTTATAGCGACGAGTTTATTGACCGGCCGCAATGTCCTGAAGTACCACAAGGCTATTGCAGCCCTAAAAGCAAGTATGGTATTGCGAAACCGGTTTTAGATTATTTTTCCACGCCTTTTTAGGTTTTTGGCCGCATATTGCATCTAGAAAGGCGCATTTCGTAACCTTACCGTCATGGGAATGGAATTTTCAAAATTGTCGAATTTTTCAAGCACAAAAAGAACTTTCAAAATGCAAATTCAATAAATAGCTCACAGCTTGATCGCAACTGTACATTGAACCACTTGCTACTCACTAAAATACAGTTTTTTTCGCGATTTTAAGTTCGAAAATCGGACTAAACGACTACACACTGACAGCTTTCACTGTTAACCGCCGATGGTTGCATTCGACTGGCACAGCACAAGTCACAGAGGTTACTTTGTGATCTGTGTGACGAAGAAGCGACCATTCAGTTAATGAGCGCGACAGGGACGGATAGATGAATGTGGGCAAATACGTTTTAGAATTATGTTTAAGTAATTTCGAGCATGACTACGATCTTCCCTCTACGAAACAAAACACATCTGCGGCATGTTGTTTTCTACCTTTCCTTAATCTCTAATTACCCTTAAAGTACATGTAATGAATAATCGATACAAAATAAACATTGCTGGTTAATTAAATTGAGAATTTCACTGTTTTGTTTAGCGATATTAGCTGAAAATCAACTGATTTTATTTATATTTGGGTTGGTGATTGGCAAATTACATTTCAATCGTTTCAATAGGCATATACCCGAGAATGCAATAGAGACGAGGTCAATGACCGGTCAAGATGTCTTGAAATACCGCGAATCAATTGGGGGCCCTAAAATGAAGTGTGGGGTTGCGCAAGGGGCTTAGAGTGTTCTTATTCAAGCCTTTTGAGTATTTGTTACAAATTATCCCAGAGTCCCAAACAACGCAGTTGCTAACGTCAATGTGGAAGTAGAAGTGCAAAAGAAAGTTTCAAATTACAAGTTCAGTAAAAAACTCACCGTTGACTGCAACTGTGCAATGAAACACTTGCCGCTCACGAAAATACGAGTTTTTTTCGCGAAGTTTGAAAACTCGACAAACCGATCAGAGCTGACAGCTTTCATTGCGAATCGCCGAAGGCGGCGTCACTAACACGACAACCGCGACACGAAACGCGGCCAGACAATGAGCAAGAAAGAGGCGGAAAGATCAATGTGGGCAAATGATAAATTTTTGATTTATAATTAAGCAATTTAGTGCATACGTACGATTTTCCTGCTATATTGTACCTTTCTTTAAAATACACGTGATAATCAATTCAAAATAAACATTGCTGGTTACTTAAATTGAGAATTTTACTCTTTTATTTAGTGAAAATAATAAAAAATCAACAAAGTTCTAGACATTTTGAACTAGTAGTTACTATCTACCTAAATCTCATGGGAAATAGAATTTTCAAAATTTTTTGAATTTTTCAGGCGCAAAAGAAAGTTTCAAATGGCAAATTCAATAAATAACTCACCTTTGACTGCAACTGTACAACAAAACGCTTGCCACTCACTAAAATACAGGTTTTTTCGCGGATTGAAGCTCGAAAATTGCCAAAACGACCACCATATCAGCGGTGTTCTGTGCAATCAACTGTATACAAGTATTTTAGTATATACAGTACAGTCTATACTAAAGTACAGGCCGGTAAGATAATTGACCGTTCGTGCCTAAATGGCACTAAAGTGGTACTTTTATCCCGTTGATGAACAAAGAATCGTCGACCGATCTTGCCCCTTGCCCACAATAGACTGAGCTAAATGTTMMACTTTCCGATAAAACTCATGCGAAATTAAGGTGTTTATCGCATAAAAAAYACACCGAGCTACAGGATTACATAATGTTAATCGTTTGCTCGCTGGCCCTTTGGGTGACTCATTGTATTGCTATGCTGTACGAYTTKAGTTTTTTTCTTATTGACGATTTTCYACAAATTCCCAGTCWGCGATCSAACAGGTTTGGATATTTAGCGTWAACAAAGTTGCTTTCTCGGGTAAAGATAAACAAACATTRCCGTTCAAGGGGCGACTTTTGAATGCTAAATTAAATAATCGCTCTCCGATCAATCGTTTGCTCCGTTGTCATGAAACGTGAAAACCTTTTTAGTTTGACCTGTGTGAGAGGCTGCACAATTTTTAGCATCTGCACCAGAATCAAAGTAAACCAGTCGCAAAATATGCCATGATTTATTTGTAAATGCTTCACTTTGATTGCACTATTAAGAGCGACGGAAAATTCGCACTTTTTCTCAACTGCATGTTGCGGTKAAAAAAAATCAGGGCAATTKCAAGAGCAAGAATTAATACAAATGTTACTTTGAGAAAATATTTAACSGCACTCACAGTCAGTCTTTTCTAAATATTTTGTTACTAAATAACAGATACATAATAGCTTATACTATTAGTCATACGTTTTACTTTCARTGTTTTCATCAAGATTGTAACTTCAATGCCTTCTACATGCCTTAAATTTCTTTTTTAATGTAAACGTTTTCAGCGGTCTCAAATTGGTTTAAAGTGCGCGCCAATTTCGCGCTCGCCTGGTTAAATGCTTGACAAAAATGACGTCATACGGCCAAAGCGCACGCCGTTCAGTAAATAGACGTCCGTAAACCGAGTCGGTCCCAGGCAGTTAATGAGTGAGAAAGAGACGGAAAGAGCAGTGTAGGCAAATGATAATTTTTGAATTTTATTGGGTGATAAATAATCAGCAAAAAAACAATGCGCGTTAATTAAATGGTGAATTTCTTTGTGCTAATTAGCTGTTATTGCCCTAAGCCGACCAAAAGGATTTTTTCAGTAAAAAATCAAAGTTTTGAAACGCACCGAGGGTTCGAACTTGCAAAAAACTGTTGTTCTTAAGGAGGTTTCGGTCACAGTCTCGCCAACAAACCGTTTAACGTTTATTTTGCGTGAAAATATCATACAATTGGAGACGTATGTACACTGTAATACAACTAGAGAGTAAAATGCACCATGTTTTATGCCCAAAATGCATTCATTAATGCCCTGCCCCATTCGCTAGTGGGCTTAAGATACACATTGTCACAACAGCTTAAAAACAACTACATTATTTAGAAGTGGACTTTCTTTTCTGTGGTGGCTACGCCATTGTCGTCAACGGTTTCTGAGTCGCATTCTGCAACCAGCTGCTTTAGGCGGGCAACGCGGCGCTCTCTGAAAAACGAAACCCGCAATGAGCCTACTGGAGGAGATATATGTGGATTAAGTACCTAACAGCTTGTTTCTCCTGCATAGCGGCCATTTCATCATCAATATCGTCGATTCTGGCCCGAGAGCGTCGAGCTCTGATAGAAGCGGCACTGGTGGTGGAGTCTCCATTTTCCGCCGGGGGAACTGCCTTCCATTTAGTCAGATTATCCGCATCCGCGTCATACGACATCTAAAACCCGATAATTTGGTACCTGATCTTAACTTTAAAATGCCTTGCCAACCTTGAGCGATCTTTTCTGATAGGAAAACTCGTTCGCCAAAGCCCTCTTGCTCGCTGAGCTCTCATTGATGCCAATGCTATCCAGGATTTTCTCCGACCGATCCAGCATCCGTTGCGTTCTGAGGTTGTTTGAGGCCGATTCCAGATCGGCGTCTTCCACATAGGAGACTTTCTTGGCCGCCCTGATCTGCTTCAGAGTGGACGCAGTCTGCAACGCAACTATTTTCAGTCTAATTAGTTCACGCGCTCACTTACCAAACCTCCTGCCTCATCATTGATCGCGTCGTCAAAGTAACGGGCCCCTCTGGAGTCGAAGAGATGGTTCTCTTTGATCCTGCTACTCGCGCGACGTCTGGAGTCCTCCAGGTCCTCTTCAGCAAATGCCCTGATGACATTAATCATATTAATTAATTAATTTGGCTGCCGCCCTTTGAGGCAGAAGACACTCACCTGGCATGGCGATCAGCAATTTCTAGGGCGGAGTTGGGAGTATATCTTTGGGGCGACAAAGGGCGACCGGAGTACTTCCTATCCAGCCGGTCCAGGGTGGACTTGTAGTAGCTTTCGCCGATGTTGTAGTTCGAGTCGTAGATTTTGGTGCGAGGCCTACTGAGGATCGGTCTACTCGACATGATCGAAACGTTGATAACTACAATTCGCCCCCAAAAATACAGTCCAATCAAAACGTCAACTTTGACTTGATTATCAAGTTACAGTATTTCAAATCTTCGGGAATGCTCGTCGTATTTCGGCCGCGTCAGTGCGCGAGTTGGTGGCGGCAGGTAAACAGTGCGCGTCATTTGCTCCGTTAAGTTTTTGATTTGTTTTAGAAAAGTGCGATTTTTCACGGGAAAATTGTTGATTTTCCTTAACTAAAAAATCCCCTGCATCGATTGGTGGTATTTTCCCGACCGATAGTGCGATTTTTCCGGCGTTACAAGACTTTTCAGTTCGGGGTTAATCTGACGTCTTCTGACAACCGGTTCGGCCAATCTGACATGCGCCTACTGATCAGGACTGAGTTATTGCTGACATTCAAGGGCTTGAAGAGTTTTGAGGACTTCCCTACTCACCCTAGGGGTTTTGAGGAGTTAAAACCATGGCGATGGACCATTCGGAAGGTAATGCAATATTTATTTGTACCGCTGAATTTGCGCGAATGCCTTTGCATGTGTAGGGTGTTGCTGACTCAAAGCGCCAACCCAGGTGCGCTTACTAATTTCGCAAAAAAGCATCCAGATCCCTAACCGATATTCACTTTCCCATTTATTTATTCTGGACGATTTGAAGGCCAGAAACTACATTCGCCTTTTATAAATAAAACAATGTATATATCTCCTGCGTGCGATTTAAACACTGTAGCGTTCAACCTACTCGCTTCTTGTATAACACTAGCACCTTCTTGAAAGTACCAAAAAAAACTTAAAATTACTTTGCAAGTTCATAGACTTTGACTATTACAATACACAATGCATTAAGATGTAAATCCAATGAACCAGAGATCAAGGCATGCCGCTTTAAAAATAGATGTAGGCCAGTAGTAGCGGAAAGGTTATTTTAAAATAATGGTTGTCCCGATATGTTTTTTCGCTTTGGACAAAGTGGGTCGCGTTTTTTTTCCTTAATTACACATTGTCACTAATAAACGAGCTCCCAAGGCCTGTTTTTCTTGGAACCGTAAAAAGCTTCAATGAATAGGCCCTTAGCAGAAAAATTGAGGAAACCAAACAGCCCCCGCAGCAACTTTAAGGGAAATAGGACTTTAGTCCATTGCATAGTTCACAGGGTGATTCAAGGGAAACTAATTACAGCGAAAAATTAAATCTTAAATTTTCCAAAGTCAAGCCAAAAAAATAAACGTTTTGAGAACGTATTATAATCGATGATGACCCGATATATTTAGCAGCATAATGGTGAAATATGCAAAGCACGCGCCCCGAAACAAGATCGCGCTATTTTTAGCAACAGAAAAGACTTGCAGGAAGCTAATGAGCGGCGATGGCATTCCGGGGGGTTTTTCTTTTATTTTCTAGTCTCTCACCTAGTTTTTCTCAGGAAAAAGAGCCGGAAAATATCACTTTTCACTCGCGGCACTGCTCGAAAGAATCCCAAAATAAATCCTGGCTGCTGAACGGAAAATATCCCCGCCCGGTTTTCAACTGGCTCTCCCACCCACTCGACCGCCCAATTTGCAATCTGGATGATTGTAAATTGTAAAGAAAAATTGCAATTAATCAGCTCTCATTAACGCTTAATTACTACGCCCTATATCTAAAGATTCATCCTTACCCATCCGCAGCCTGGAGGTCCTAAATAAACTGGGAAAACCCGCATTCCCCAACTAATTAGTCAACAATTCCAATTAATTTCTTTAATTAACCGCGTTAATTAACGAATTACGACAGGGGAAAACCACAAGCCGGGCTCCAAATCCCTGTTGCCACATATTCAAACATGTCCCATTTCAACATCAAATCAAGTGAAGTGCACCTGACATCTTGTCGCCAAAGTAAGGTTATACATTTAAAGGAGGCTATTCAAATAAGCCGAAAATGAACTTCCTGGCGAGAAAAGCCCCTCAACTGGCCCTTGTGTACAGCACCACAGTGTCCAGGTTACCAAAAACGCTTTCAGTGCGCCTCAAGAGCAGCAGTGCCCCCAAAAGAGCAGGATCGTATTTTAAACTGGGGTTGACTGGGGTGGCCATGGGGGCCCTAGTTGGCACCGGTTATACAATTCACCAGCAAAACAATCCCAAAGATCACTTTGTCAACGAGACATTTTTCATTGAGGAGCTGGAGGAAATTCCAGAAATCAAACCAAGCAGACAGGTAGCCAGGTTTAGGTGGTTTGTGCCTTTTTAAAGCCGATGGTTGTAGATGAAATTCTCTGAGGATCACAGCAATTTGAAGCTGACACTGTTCCAGTATCAAACTTGCCCATTTTGTTGTAAAGTGAGGGCGTTTTTAGACTATTACGGCGTTTCGTACGATGTGGTCGAGGTGGATCCAGTGCTGAGACAGTCAATCAAATGGTCCGAGTATAAAAAAGTGCCGATTTTAGTTGCCAAAACCCCAACCGGCTACCAGGTTGGCAGGCGATCTCTCAATCTTTACTGGTAACTTAATAAAGCCAACTTTCAGCCATTGAATGATAGCACAATGATAATATCAGCGCTGGCTTCATACTTAAAGGATTCCGGAAAATCAATGGCCGAACTCGTTCAATGTTTTCCCTATATCACATTCACTGACGACGAAGGAGTGAAGAAAAAGGAAATAATGAACAAGTACTTTCTGATGCTGAGCAACCAACAGTATAAGAAGGAGAACGACAAGTCTTTGAGGTACTAACCTGGCTACTCAATAATAGTGAAGCAGTCGGCTTTGTTTAGTGACGAGAGGAAATGGAGAAAGTGGGCGGACGAAGTCCTCGTCCACACCCTATCCCCAAACGTCTACAGGACCAGGGAGGAGGCCTTCCAGGCCTTCAACTGGTTCTCAGAGGTGGGCGAATGGGAACAGCACTTTCCTAGTTGGGAGAGGAACCTTATCATCTATGTGGGCGCTTCCGCCATGTACCTGGTGGGCAAGCGCCTGAAGAAGAGGCACAATTTGAAGAACGACGTCAGGCAGAGCCTGTATGATCAATGCAACGTATGGGTAAGGGAATTCATTGACTTCACCCAAGCTAGCATTGAAGGCAATGAACAGTTGAAATTCTAATGCTGAAAGAACTTTCAGGTGTCAGAAATAAAAAAGAAAGGCACCACATTCTTAGGCGGACAACAGCCGAATTTGGCTGATTTGGCTGTGTACGGTATACTGAATAGCATCGAGGGTTGTGTGGCGTTTAAAGAACTACTGGAAAACACCCGAATTGGCCCGTGGTACCTTTCAATGAAACAGGCAGTCTCTGCCCACCAGGGCGCCAAGTTTGTTTAATTATATCTAATGTTAAAATGTGTATATATTAAACGAAATCGTTCCCAAAAAATGCGTTTTATTTTGACGCTCTTACAATTAATACCTATTTACAGCACATGAGAAATAAGTTAATTATGAAATAATTTAATTCAACAACAACTACTAATAAATAAATAACTACAGATTGTCCGCTCAGTATCGTTGCGTCACTTGCCTGATCCAATCCAGGTAGTGCGCGACTCTCACGTAAACGCCCGGAACTCCTATTTGGCCGCAGCCAATTCCCCAGCTGACCACTCCCACTAGTTGCCAGGTCCCGCCCCTTTCACACACCATGGGGCCACCGCCGTCTCCCTTGCACGCGTCTTTGCCCTCCTCACCTCCAGCGCAAACGAATCCCGGATGAAGTTTGAATTCGTATCCTGAAAAGCAAAACCGCACTCAATTTCCCGCTGTGACTCAATTGAAAAACCTCTACTGACCTAAACGGGTGTTTTGCAACTGGCGCTGGCACTGTCCAAAGCCCACAACAGGCACATCCACTTCCTTGAGGATATTTTGGTACTTTCCAAAGTCTCCGAACGCGTCTTTGCCCCATCCAGTAGTCCAGCATCTGGCCCCCGTGTAGTCGTCCTGTAAATCCAGCAATCCATGCTTGATGTGTTTCGTTGTACTTCTTGATTGTGACTTACCTGAGGATGCGGTAAGCAGGCAGGTGAGATGTGGGGATGTTTGGTCCAGTCCACTGGGGTGCTCATTCGAAGAACTGCAATATCATTGGCTAGGGTGCCCGCGTAGAATTCCGGATGCACAGTTAGGGAGGCAATGTCGCGTTCAATATAAGGGTAGAATTCCACGTCGTGGTTCACGTCCCATTCGCCCAAGCGCACCCTTAGATCGAAGTTGGTGTATCTGGAAAAAGCATTCTAAAACATGGTCCTAAAGGCGTTTTCACGCACTTACTGCTTAACGCAATGGGCGGCAGTGAGGATGTGCAGGGGATCGATCAGGGTGCCACCACACACATACACGCTCTCCTTGGGGTCCTTCTTCAATATGGCCACCTGCCAAGGGTACTCGCCAAACTCCGAGTCTCCATCCACGTAGACCGGGTTCTTGATGCGCCCGTTGATGCCTTGCGAGTGCCTGGTTCCGCAAGTGTTTCTATTCACTGTAGGCGCGGGCGGTTGGAAAGGCCTGCGGCAGCAGACGTGGCGCGGTCCACAGGTCTGGGGTCTTCCATAGTAGGCCTGGCGCTAAAAAGCCGCAAATCTCGTTAGGATTGCCCTCACAAGTGCTCTCACCATTCACCGTTTACCTTGTCGGTATTGGTTCTACCTTCGTTAATATCATTGGTCGTTTGGTCTTTGTCCGTCAGGTCGCGTCTACGCCTACTGCTCGGGAAGCTAATCTTACCCTTTTCCCCCCCTACCGATAGGCTTTTTCCCCCACGGAACCCTACGGTTTGATACCGGCTTTCTAGCCCCGCCTTTTCAATGCTATTGGACGCGAACTGGTCAACGCCCACTGGGTTTCCGTAGCTATCCACGTCTTCGTTGTACTTGTTTTGGTATTGGTCTTGAAGGTTCAACCCTGGAGTGTAGCTGACGTTGTTGTAAGCCCTACCCAGGAAGGTCTCGTGGTGTCCTCCGCCGTAATTCAGGGGATCATCAAAGTATCCACTTGGGGGGCCTTCAAAGTGCTCCGGCGGCCCATGGTGGGCAAATGGAGGTTCGTGATGGTATTCAGGGCCGGGTCCCTGAAAGTGCTCTGGGGGGCCATGGTGGGCAAACGGAGGTTCCCGATGGTATTCAGGGCCGGGTCCATGAAAGTGCTCTGGGGGGCCATCATATATTTGTGGGTGGTGGCCGTAACTAATCGGGCCTCCATGGTGGAACTCCTCAGGATGTTCCCTGTAGGGACCCTCGTAATACCCTCCGTGAGGGGACTCATAGTGCGGGTAGCCCTTATGCACATGAAAGTGCTTGTGTTTGTTCAAAATAACTCCCTTCTTATAGGAAATCAGGTCCTCAAACTTATTCACCAGGTAGCTGTTGGGGGTCAAATGCAAATTGACAAAGGGCTTGATCACTTTGTTGCCGTAATCGTCCTTAGTGAACTGAACGGACACCAGAGGATTTACGGAAACGAGGCCCAGATTAATGCCGGTACCATCGACGGTTCCGTGGTGGGGATAAATGCCGTGGGGGGAGAAAGGGTACCCACCGCCTCCTTGATAGGGCAGGCCGAAAGATAGACCGAATGTCGGTTTCAGTTTCTTCATTATATTATCGTATTGGCTTTGGTATTGACGCTGCAACAATACAGCTCGATAAGGGTGTGGGCAATTGGACAGGGTAGTCGGGCGAGAACGGTGTTTAATTTGGTTCTGTTACACCCTGTACGAGCGGGCTGTTAATGGTTAGGGACCAAACACCCAAAGTCGGTTGGTTGGGTGGAGATTTTGGTTAATTTTGAATTCCCCAATGAGGCAGTGGGCACTATGTATAAGTAGCTTCCATTGGAGTTAGTTAGATCGAACCCCGTGTTGCGTCATCAAAGACGTGGTTTTGAACAGGTTTTTTTTCATGTAATATGTCGCCGAGTGACTAATTTTAGAGTTAGCTCTTTAGACCAAACACCCTTTCATATGAGTAGTAGTGACTTACCCCTTCGATTTTATGGTCCTCCTCTTGATTGCCCTCCTTTTTCTCCGCGGGTGCTTCCCTTTTGCTCACCTTCTTCTCTTCAGCCGTTTCAGTTTCATTGGACTTGCTGGTGTCTTTGGGAACGCGCACCTACAAACCAGGTTTAGTTCCCCACAATTTCCTTCTAACCCTCAAAGTCACTCACAATTGTCATAGTGCCGTTGCCGTCGGTCAAAACGCGCGTTTCAGCCTTATCTGTTTCGGCCTCAATGTCGCTCTTCAGGTTGCGGGGGTCAATGGCCAAGTACAGGTCATCCTTGCGACCAATCACGTCATGAGTTGGACATTGGTCGTAGGGAACGCAGACGCAGTCGTAACTTTCCGCCCTAAATCGTCGATTATTTTATTCATCGATCGCTTCTGGTATTTCTGTTAACTCACCTCGCAGACTCAACTCCCTTGTATTTATCCGCATAGTTGGAACCCAGATAGTTGTTGTTGACGGAGTCCACATTCAGCTCCTTCTTGTAGAGGTTGTTGGAGCCATAGTATCCTCCGGAGGCTCCGAAACCGTTGCTGTTGAAGGAGGAGGATGAGGAGCCGAAGCTGCCCAGGCCGGTCGATCCAGAGCCGAAGGTTTGAGGCCCGAAGCTCTCGCTGATTGGTTTGCTGTCCGCGTAATTCAACCCTGAGGATCCGTAGTTGGCGATGTTTTGGCCTCCATATGAAGCCCCGCTCAGGCCGTTGAACTGGCTGGAGCTTTCGAGGGGCAGCTGACTGGCTCCCACCGGGATAAAGCCATTGCTGCTCAAGCTAGAGCTTCCGAAGGAGCTGGAGGATTGGCTGAGCGAGGAGACAGCAGCTGCAGCTAGCGGGCCGGGGTTTACCACCACTGTAGGCGTGTTTCCAATGCCATCTGCGTTGTGGTGGTAGTGATGGTGCACGTGCTCTACTTGGCCTTTGTTAGCGCTGGCTACAGTGGCTGATGCTGCGCCTCCTTGGGCATTGACTGTGATCTCCACGCGTTTGTCCTTGTGGCCCCCGGTGTGTCCAACCGACTCGAACTGATAGGGAGAACCGGGAACTGATAGGCCGGGCCCTTTGTTGAAGTACTCCGAAGTTGGGGGACGGTTCAGGAACTCGCCCTCTGCCAGGATTTCTCCTCCGGCTAGGAACGGGGGTTTGCTGATGCCACCGTAATGGGGCGGCTTGATGCCGCCCAGGCCGTTGCCTGCAAAGGCGGGTCCGTATCCTCTCCTGGGCGGTTTATTTGGGGAGAAGGGCGGGTATTTGCCGGACGGGGGTGGCCCGAACTTTTGAGGGCCGCCAGGCCCATACCCGCCTCGTCCGCCCTTTACTGGAATGGTTGGAATGGGGCGACCCACTGGGTTGATGGCCACAGGCTGGGCGTATATGAGCTCCTCTGGCGATATAAAGGGACGCTTCCCTTCGATCTCCTCCTCACACTAAATGAGTCAATGTTGAGGAAGCTGAGAAGCAGTGGGGCTAGGCAACACTCACCTGCATCAGCCCCAAGTAGCAAAGTCGGTCCTTGATGACATTCCGAGCCTCCCCATCGTCCCCCTTTTGCAGGGCTTCTTGCACGTTGGGGTCACTGTAGACTTCGTCGTAGCCTTGCAAGGCCCTGCCTTGCCTCTGCGAGCCCAAAATCTCGTCGATCACTTTCTCCATATCAGTGGCGTTCTGGGGGGCGTTGGCAGTGGCGGCCGGTTCCAAATCATAGCCGGTTTCGATCTTTTGGCCCACATCAGGGCTGGCGCTCCCGCTCGGTTGGTTCCAGGACCAGGAGTTGTCTTGGGCTGCTGCGCAAGCTGCGAGCAGCAAAAGGGCCCAATGGGCTTGCAACAGTCTCATTGTTCTTCAAAAGAAAAAACTATAATTACAAAAGAATCAATCGGAGAAATGGGATTTTAGTGTGAACCGATAACAATCGCTTAGCGTTTGTCGCGTTAGCGCTAGACCACAAAGACAATGGAGTGAAAGTGGACTTTCGCGCGAAATTTAGATTCGAGTAGAAGGTTTTTCTTTGATAAAATCGCTTTATTTAAATTGGGCGAAATGGTTCTGTATCGGTTGCTTCACATGTTTGCCAACTGGGCTTATGAATGGGGGGAAATGATGTTAGAAAAAGAAATCGTCGCCATTAATGCCGCCCCCATGGTTGTGCGATTTTCGGACCGTCGTGGGCCGCAATGGCGGAGAAAAGTCGGTCAAGAACCTCTCCGTTGGCCTTTTACTTTCGTTGACATCGCTTTCTTTATTGTTTATTGACGAGCTGGGCATAATCTTTGCCGATTTCTTCTTCCGATTGGCCGATGATGTCATCCAATCGCCGTACCTTCGCCTCGGTGCTAAAGGATGTCCTTTTATGCAACTGAACTTGTAGCAATACGCAATGAGGTCGGGAGTTTTGGAATCTCTTTGCCCGATTGGCTAGTGCAGATATTGATTACCGCCCTCAAAGCATTCGGGACAAATTGCCCACAATTCCTTGCTTGATCTTCAGTTGATTTGAGAGGAAAATTGAAGGGGTTTCTTCAGTTTTTTTCCGAAAAGTTCATGGCCCTATTGGCCCTTGTGTGGAGGATGGGGAAGCAACGAGTGCACAGTTTCAAACCCGCCATCTAAAGGTTGCAAATTTTTGCTCCAGATTTGGATCAAACTAGAAGTTTTTGGCCTACATGACTAATCGTTCTTTGCTCATTACTTCCAGTTGCTCTAATTTCTTTAGCTGGAAAAATCGATATTCGCAGCAAGTCGCACTCGCACAATGTCATTCGCGTTCGGTTGAAATATCTGCAAAAACTTGGGCAGTGAAGATATAGCGAATCGATCAGGTTTTCCAGTCTTGCAGATGAATCTTCTTTGGATAGTTGCTTAATAGATCTTTGCTTTTAACGGTGGAAAAAATATCAAAGGACCTCATCTGCCAGACTGGAAAAGCCGATATACTGCCAAAGTTCCTGCAGGGATTTCAATTGAGTCTGCAAAATTAAACTCTGACATTTGACTAGTGAATGAAGAAAACCGCTCTATTCCCGAATAATTAAAGCAGTAGAATGTCGCTTCTTCAGAGAAATTACTTACCAATTTCTTCAAAAACCCGCACTGAAACCAAGCACAACACATCCAAAGGCACTATTCAAGTTTCACTCTCTATCTGCGGCTTATATAGCGCCCCCCACGCAAAATTCACTTTCTTCAAGAAGAACCGCGGCCAACCAGAAGGTTACTGGACGTTTATTTTGTTTTGCTGATTACTGTTTATCGTCCATCAACGACCGGTAATGAGGTTTGCTAATTACGATGATTTTTCTAATCGACAATCCCTGTCTTCTGTTCTTACCTTAAAAGGTTGAAGCACTGGAATATTTGAGTAGCTGAGGTTGACTGTGCCAATTGGTAGCTGGCTGATCTTTATATAAGAACCAATTGCAAGCTGGTGCATTGAGAGGGGTTCTTCTTGGGGAATTGGTGCGTACCAAAACGGATCTGAGAAGGTCTTATGCAATTGGGGATTTCTGAATGAATTGTTACTCTTCGATTGAAGTAGTAGCCGGTTTTCGCTGACATTGATCTAGATTGCGGGCTTTTTCGGGGTTGTGCAACTCCCAAATTCATGCCCATTGGCCAAACGGCAATTTCATAACTTCCAGTTCTTCGAAGAAACGCCCGAACGTATGAAGAGGTTTTCGAAGAAACGCTTTGTGGGTCAAAGACATTGTTTGGGTTTTTTCGGTTGTGTAATCAATGGCTAAGTATACAATTTGCATTAACCTTCGTGGCCTTAAAAGAGGGCATAAAACTGACCTGATGGGTCGCCGCTGGATGATGATCTAATAGCGCAGAAGAAGAAAAGTGGCAATTTCACTTTCATGACGCCAACGCGAAGTATGACTAATGCGGCCTTTGGGCAATTTCTTCGCTATTGCCGGCGCGATCTTCATGAAGATCGCCAGCACGTGCTATCAATGTGAAGCAGCTTGATCTCAAAGTTAGCTGGTACTTTAAAGACAATTGAAATTCAGCCGAAAGGCCGCGGCATTAATCATGTAATTGATTAATTCATATGCAATGCTCGATTGCTTTGTTGCCCATAACAATTAGGGAATTCCGTGCAATAATATGTTGTTATGCCACTGCAGGTTGTTAGGTAATTTGAGTTCTGGCGAAAAGAAAATTTGCTTCGAACCCATTGCATCAGAGCACAACAAACAAATGATTGCTAGGCAAAATGGGCCGAAACGCGACTGATCAGTACAAGAGTTGATTGTCTGCAGAGTTGGCCGGATCCGGGAGAAAGTGGACGAAATTGTTAGCAGGCGGTTACCGGAGCGATTACGTGTTCAATTGTTAAGCAATAGTGCGTTTTTGGGTAGCCGGATGCGAAAAGGGCGCAACTCTAGCTGTTACTTTGAAGACCTTTCCGGTCTTAAACTAAAAAATGAAGACTACTTTAAACCGATGGGGAAATCCCAAAGGCATGCAATTGCTGAATATTCACTTGCATAATCTGCGGTCAACATAAAGGCGCCAACAGATCGGAAGCATGCTCATACTTTCACTGAAACAAATTGGCAATGTTTGGATTAATTTATTATGCTTTTGTTGAGTGAAACGTCTAGATGACCGTCATTTGCTCTTCCCGGCGTTTCGTCGCCTTGTAGTCCTAAAAGCCCCCAGTGAAAAGAGCGAAACTCTTCAAGCACTTGGTTACCTTCCAGAAGGTCCGCACTTCTTGAACGTCCGTTCTTCGGCGCACCCAATAGCCCCTCATGAACGCCTGTATTTTAAGGGCTGCATATGCCCGGCTCCAAATCAACGAAAAGGGATAAAAAGGTCGCGGATGAGCGTCCAGTCGGTCTTTCACCCATTTCATGTCGAAAATGTATGTCCAGGATTGTCGTCGTTCCGGGTACCGATGGTTCATGTTGTAAAGGTACTCGCTGATGAAATCGATGCCATTCAATGCGCTTTTGGGGCGCTGTTTTGAAGGAAGAAACCAGTTTTTAGTGCTCTTGAAGCCATTCAGATTGTACTCATTTGGGGTTTAACTGCTAAAAAATTGCCGGCAGATTTATGTAACACCCTGTAAAGTTTGGGATTTTTCGATCGCTAATTCATCTGCTCTGGATACTAACAATCCACCGAGCTCAGAAAGAAACACACTAAACCTTTCTGAACCGATCTATAATCGCAAATTTTGAACGGATTTTAGTATTTAAAGACGATGTTTGCCCGCATATTCATATGAGTTCATCAAGCGCACTAAAAATGCGTATTGTGGGCTTTCTAGATCACAAGCAGTCCCTTGATCTCAGAACTCACTAAATCTTTCTAAACCGAAATGTTTGAAAACTATAATCCACTCTGGTCGTATTCTAAACTCAAGCCCCTTACGTATGCGTTTTACTCAGAAGTAAAGGCACTGGTCGCCTCTGATCCGAAGTAACTGATCATTGCGGTTTTGCCATCCTCAATCGGCTCGACTTTGCCCTGCTCTGGTCTCAAACACTCTTCATACGCGTATTGGGTCGAAAACAACACCTCGGCTCAGAAACAGGCATACTCAAACGTTCTGAACCAAAGTGACCCAAAAAACTGGGTCCAATTTTGAGCGGTTTTTATCTGTAACTGAAGATAACTCAATTGCACTCAATGTGCGTATTCAAAGCTTTTTGCGTTGAAGATCGTCCTTCAAGCTCAGAAGTTAGTAAAACCGATCCTTTCGGTTCTAAATATTCGAGAGACATTTTGCACACAGGCACATTTTGGGGCTCAGAAATTGACAAGATCTTCTGCGTATTGCGCGTTTTACTCAGAAGTAAACGCACTAGTTTCTTGTTATCTGAAGGGGCAACGATCCCTTTTCTAAGAAAAAAATGGTGATGGTACAATTGAACTTCCCATTTTTTATGTGATTTTATACCCTATAGCCTCTGCAGCCCCCCCTAGATCCAGCGCTGCTCAAATGCCCTTTATCGATTTAGATCGGAAACAAACACACTTAACCGTTCTGAACCGAGACTGATGGCGAACTTTGAACGATTTTGTCTTTAATTGACGATATCTGCCCGCGTATCTCTTGATTCAACGAGGCTCAATGAGCGTATTAAGAGTTTTTTAGTTGAAAACAATCCTTCGAGCTCAGAAGTTAGCAAAATAGATCCTTCTGATGTCGGAAATGATGGCTCGCTTTGAGGACCTAACGTGACAATATCTGGCACATTCTAAACTCAAGCGCACAATGTATTTGAATTGGGGAGTTTCAGGACAGCAATTGATAGTTTTAAGCAGAAATGAGCAACTCAGTACCTTCTGATCCGAAATAGCTCTCTAGTCGTTTCACGCATATGATGAGGAGATTGCTTCTTAGATGGAAAAACTGTAAGCTCAGAAATAATCTCAAGAGATCTTTCTTCAGATTCAACATATATAAAAAGCATGGTCAATTTTGGGATGTTGCGAGCTTGAGCCGACGATTTTCCGTCTAATCTTGACTCAAGACGTGACTGAAACCATTCCATGAGCTCAGACATGCACACAAGAACGTTTTGAGCCGGCAAATTTGGCCTTTGTTGAGAAGTTTCGATCTTTAACCTACGATTTTTGGTTGACTTTGTTCTGAAGCACGATCTACAAGCGTATTGGGGAGCATACCAGACCTTTCTGTTCCCCAGTGACAGAATCCTCAACATTTCCTTTCTGTATATTCTCAAACATCTACGTTCTGTCTTAAGTCGAACGCAGTTCCTTGAGCTCTTTTATAAACCCTTCTGACCGTGAATTCTGAGATGTTTGTTTGAGAATCGAATTCTTTACATTATTCCCTCATTAACTCACGTAGCAGCTGGACTCTTCACGAACAGTCTCGAGCAACGCAACCATTGCTTGCCGAAGAATTGGTAGAAGGGCGGCGTTTAAGGCAGCGATCAGAGGAACTGAAGGCAAGAAATTTGGATTGAGGGCCAAAGCTTAAAGGTTCAAAACACGTACGTTGCTCCACCCCAATCTGGCCTTCTGCTTCATCGCGCCTCTTCAAGTACTCATCCAGTTCGCCTCTGTCCTTTTCGCACTCATCCACAATCCCCTTCCAGATATTGACGCCCTCGTGATCTGGTTCGCTCTCATCGCTTGATGGAGGCTCCGCCCACTCAGGAGTAGTTGTGTGGATGATATCAATATCAGAAATGTCCGACATTTAGTGCAGTTGACTGACATTGATTAGATGTACAGAAAGGACACAACTGAGAGAATCTTCTGCGCAATTTATTGCCTAATTTGGCCTAAACTACAAAGTGCTACCCAAGCGCCCTGTATAGAGCAAAGGCTTCATCCAGCAGCAAAGCAACTTGACAGAAACGCCCCGCTTTTGTAAAATTGCTTTCGCCTCGGCCTGCTCTGAATGGTCCCTGCATATGTACAAAAATCGTCTTATTGTACTTCTACTAATAAATAAATAACTAGCTAAACCAGGCCTATGTACAGGGTGTCTTTGAACTCGGCTCAGCTACCCTGTACAGTTATCAGCCCAAATCCGGCAAAGTCTCATTCAATTCACTCGGCTTCACTGCGTTGTGGCTCTTCCGGTGTAGCAACTGTCGCTATAATGCCTGCCCTCCCTCACGTATTCCTCCACACTCTTGTTCGGATCGTTGGCGGCCACGAGCGCTGAGTGCAGCTTCGAAGCCAGCCAGCACATGAGGAACGCGGCCAGAAACAGAAGACACCCCAATATTGCAGCTATTGCCTGAAAAGAGGCGGGTTTGCAGTCAAGCAAGCAGCAAAGTCAGCTGTGTGCTCACCAGGAATGTGCTGCAGCTGCCCTCGATGGCCGACGCTTTCTCGAACAGTTCCCCAGGCATGAGCACGGTGTATTCCAGATTGCCGTTGATCTTCGTAAAGTGAGTGGAGTTGTACCTTTGGAGACCCACTTCGGAGTTGGCTGGTTCCACCACTTCAATCACTTCGGCCGTGTCACGACGGCGCCTCCTGCAAAGTCGATTCATTAGTAAAAACTGCAAAGAAGCTTGATGGAGAAAAGCTGGAGATATACCTTCTTCTGCCATGAGCAGTGGGTTCGTAAAGGTCCAAACAAAAGTCCGGCGGACAGTCGACAGACTCCATGCAGGCCTTGATCTGCGAATGGATCCAGAGCGTCGATCTCTCCTTCATGGTGCTGAGGAGGAAGGCCTCAAAGTCCAGATAGACCTCGTTGGTGCGATCCTTGAACTTGTCGGGCTGGCGGGGGATGATGCTGGCAAAGTCGGTGTTTCGGCACCTGAAGACGCGGACGCCACATTAATCAACAGCGCCCCGTTAATGATAGTAATTATGCAAATCAGCCCGGAGGAACCGTCATTATTTCTGCATACCCTAATTACGCGTACAAGTACCGAGTCCGGAGCCAGTATGGTTGAACGAAACGCGCCGCATTTGCCGAAAAACAACCGTTTGGTTTCCTCCATGCTTCACAACACCAAAAAATTGGACCGAAAATGCCGCAGGCCTCGCTACTGGTTGTCGGCAATTATTCCGCCAACTGATTAGCTGATTAAATGCTGCTTTATGGTCGAATGGGGCTTGTTCAGCGGGAGGCACATGTGCGGAGAAAATCGCACGTCCAAAGATAAAAAACCCAAATACCCGCATTGCATGGGAAAAGCGGTTTCAGATGCCGCAGGAATTCAGTAGCAGGCAGGAGGAATGTGCGCTTCATATCTATCCGGACTTTCATGTGCCTACACCCAGTTGGCCTGAATTCATCGCGAAATGCATATTTAACATATTGAAGAAAATCCTTTTAAAAACGGCAATTTTCAACTGCAGCAAGCAATATCAACCGGGCATTAGCTTTACATGCAAGTGTGTCAACTCGATGTTTAACAGAGTAAAACAAGAGCACGTTACGAAACAAGGGGCCTTTGATGCGAAGAGCGGATGCACCTGTGGATGGGCAAATATTTGCTCCATGCTGGCCATAAAAGCCATGATTATGGGCCCTAAAGTGTTGGTAAACAGTTGATAAACACCGCTCTTACCCGTCTTTGACTAGAACAACGCTGCCGGGCATGTGAGGGTCATCCGGGTCAGGAGACACAGTCACCTCCATCAGTTTCACGTACTTCCAAGCGGAGTCTGGATTGATGCGCGCTCTCAACTGCAGCTTTGTGCCTGTTAAGTTCAAGAATTGAAGCTAAAAACTCGTTTTCGGTTGAAATCGTTACCAATCGGCACGGCCTGGTCCACTGGCAGCTCCTTGCTGCTGGACATGTTGGTGATTTTGGCTGCAGGAGCCTCCTTATACAGAGCGACCTCATACTCCAACCTTCCGGGAGTTTCCTCCACTATTCCGGACACTCTGGCGCCGTGTGGGCTGCAAAAGAGGAATGAGAAAAACACTCACTAACGGGAAAAAACACTTACAAGCTTCCAGCAAATCCTGCGGCTTTGTTCTCGATTATGGTGGGCTCGGGAGGTTTGCACATGATGATCACTTCCTGATCAGATTGCATCACCACGCCCGGAAACTGCGGGAACCAGATTCTTATGTGCACGAAGCCCTAAAATCGGCAAACAGAGCCCCGTTTTAGCTAAAGATTTGCTAAATTTTGTTATATCTGAGGAACCGTTAAATATACCTAATCAGATATAACGGCCATTTTTATAGTTTTTTGAGGGCTTATAAGGGTTATTCTAGTAGCCTAACCTCTAAGAAGTTACAAGCGAAATTGTGGATATTTCTCAACATTTTTGCGCATATCTTGAAATTGCTGGAAAACAGATGGGCAGTTTCGAAGCTTTTTGATAGCGCGCTTTGAGTACTAGATTTTACTTCTAAGAGTATTCTCAAAATTACTAACCTCTGAAAAGTTGCAGGCAAAATAGTGCGAACGATTGAACATTTTCCGTCATATCTCGTTAACCGTTCAAAACTCGCGAAAAGTTTTAGGGACCCTTTTGATAGACAGTTTTGAGTGCCAACTTTTTCTCATCAGGTTTTTTCAAAATTGATAACCTTTAAAAAGTTACAAACAAAATTGTGGTTATTTCTCAACATTTTTGCGCACATCTTGAAATTGGCTGAAAATACATGGGCGGTCGTAAGAAGCTTTTCAATAGCGCGCTTTGAGCCCTCCTTTTTACTTCTCACAGTTTTCTCAAAATTCCTAACCTCCAAAAAGTTACAGGACAAATAGTGCGAACGATTCATCATTTTCCGTCATATCTTCTTAACGGTTCAAAATTCGCAAAAAGCCCTAAGAGCCCTTTTCGTAGACCGTTTTGAGGACTAACTGTTTGTTACCAGTTTTTTCAAAATTCCCAACCTTTAAGAAGTTACAAACAAAATTGTGGTTATTTCTCAACATTTTTGCGCACATCTTAGAATTGGCTGAAAATACATGGGCAGTCGTAAGAAGCTTTTCAATAGCGCGCTTTGAGCCCTACATTTTACTTCTCAGAGTTTTCTCGAAATTCCTAACCTCTAAAAAGTTACAGGCAAAAAGGCGACAACAATTGACAATTTTTAGTCATATCTCGTTAACCGTTCAAAATCCGCGCAGAGTCGTAAGGACCCTTTTGATAGACCGTTTTGAGTACTCACTTTTTCTCGTCCGGTTTTTTCAAATTCCTAACCTTTAAGAAGTTACAAGCAAAATTGTGATTATTTCTCAACATTTGTGCTCATATCTCGGAATTGGTTGAGAATACAAGGGCAGTCATACGAAGCTTTTTGATACTGCGCTGTGAGTGCTACATTATACTTTTAAAAGTTTTCTCAAAATTGCGAACGATTCATCATTTTCCGTCATATCTTGCTAACGGTTCAAAATTCGCGAAAAGCCCTAAGAGCCCTTTTGGTAGACCGTTTTGAAGACTAACTTTTTGTGACCAGTTTTTTCAAAATTCCCAACCTTTAAGAAGTTACAAGCAAAACTGGGGTTATTTCTCAACATTTTTGCGCACATCTTGGAATTTTCCGAAAATACATGGGTAGTGGTAAGAAGCTTTTCAATAGCACGCTCTGAGCCCTACATTTTAATTCTTAGAGTTTTCTCGAAATTCCTAACCTCTAAAAAGTTACAGGCCAAAAGGCGAGAACAATTGACATTTTTTTGTTATATCTCGTTAACCGTTCGAAATTCGCGAAAGTCTTAAGGACCCTTTCGGTAGACAGTTTTGAGTACTAACTTTTTCTGGTCCGGTTTTTTCCAAAATTCCTAACTTTTATGACGTTGCAAACGAAATTGTGGATATTTTTCAACATTTTTGCGCACATCTTGGAATTGGCTGAAAATACATGGGGAGTCGTAAGAGCTTTTCAATAGCGCGCTTTGAGCCCTACATTTTACTTCTCAGAGTTTTCTCGAAATTCCTAACCTCTAAAAAGTTACAGGCAAAAAGGTGAGAACAATTGACAATGTTTAGTTATATCTCGTTAACCGTTCAATATTCGCGAAAGTCTTAAGGACCCTTTCGGTAGACCGTTTTGAGTACTTACTTTTTCTCGTCCGGCTTTTAAAAATTCATAACCTTTAAGACGTTGCAAACGGAATTGTGGATATTTTTCAACATTTTGGCGCATATTTTGGAATTGGTTAAAAATACATGGGCAGTCGTAAGAAGCTTTTCAATAGCGCGCTTTGAGCCCTCCATTTGACTTCTCAGAGTTTTCTCAAAATTCCTAACCTCGAAAAAGTTAGAGGCAAAATAGTGCGAACGATTGATCGTTTTAAGCCATATCTCGTTAACTGGCCAAAATACACCCACAGTCTAAGGGACACTTTCGATAGACCGTTTTTAGTTCTAATTTTTTCTAGTGAGGTTTTCCCAAAATTTCTAACTTTTTAGAAATTCCAAGCGAAATTGTGGATATATTCAACATTTTTGCGCAAATCTCATAGGTGGAATAGGTTGAACATACAAGGGCAGTCGTACGAATATTTTCAACAGCGCACTTTTAGTTTTACATTTTACTTCTAAGAGTTTTCTCAAAATTCCTAACCTCTAAAAAGTTACAAGCCAAATAGTGCGAGCGATTCACCATTTTCCGTCATATCTCGTTAACCGTTCAAGATATGCGCACAGTCTAAAGGACTTCTTGCTAGACCGTTTTTAGTGCTAACTTATGCTCGCGAGGTTTTTCCCAAATTCCTAACCTGCAAGAAGTTAGAAGCAAAATGGCGGACATTGTCCAACTTTTTGACGCATATCTCGGTGTGGGTTGCAAATACATGAGCAGACGTAAGGACCTTTTCGACAGAGCACGTTGTGTGCTAAAGTGTCCTTTTTATAGGTTTTTCAAAATTTCTAACCTCTAAAAAGTTACAGGCAAAATAGTGCAAATGATTAAGCATTTTCAGTCATATCTAGTCAACCGTCAAAAATACGCAGACAGTCTTAAGGACCTTTCAGATGAAACGTATTGAGCACCACATTTTTCACATAAATATTTATTTGCACTTTGTAACCTCTAAAAAGTTGCAAGCAAATTTGGAATTTTGGCCCGTATTTAGGATCCGCTAGGTTTTGAAAAACAAGTCGTAAGAACCTTCTTGATACAGTTTTTTGAAAACCACCGTTCCCTCATTAGGCTTTACTGGAAATCCTAACCTCTAAAAAGTTGGAGGCCAAATAACTGGCTAATAGTCCAATACTTTGCCAGGTGGAATGGATGTTAAAACATAAATAAAGTGGCGGAAATTGGCAACGACAAGAAGAGTTGTGAGCGAAAGTCGCCCATGTGGCCGATAGAATGCAGATTTGCGGCCTAATTTGTTCAACATCGACTTGACACAGATCAGCAGTCGTAAAAAGTGACTTCTTGAGCTCAGCCAGCTCGTTACGCTGCGTTACAAGATCGAGCCGACAATCTGCACGTAATTTGACATGAGTTATGAGATCAGTTAAGTGAAGAACATTCAGGCTGCATTTGCATTTCAGCCATTTACTTGGCCAATATTTCACTGAAGCTGGATGAAGAAAGTTATTGAGCCACTCGGGCGTCTTACCCGTTTCTTCAGTACTCCACAGCGTCCAAAGTCGGTGACTTTCAACTCGTATCTCAAGCCGGACGGATCGCTCAAATCCGGCCGGATTTGGCAAACAGCATCCCTGGTTGGATCAACGGCTCGGTCATCGGCAAAAATGGGATGGCCTTTAAAGCCTTCGGGCTTCCGCAGCTTGGCCATGACCGTGTCCTTAGCGCTACCTTGACTAACTGCGAACGTGCACTGGATTTCGGTAACTGGAGCAGAAGAAGAACGTTGATTGCGAGATTAGATTAGATGAGAGGAGATGGACAGCCGAATCCGACTTACCGTCATAGTCTTGGGCTTCTATTGTTCCCTGAAACAATCAAAGCACCGTTAATTTGGCGAAAATTCGCATGGCTGTGGCGATTGGATGGACGGCGGCCTTTCCATCCAAATTCCGCCAGAGAAATGCCATCATTAATTTGGGCGCTAACAAGCGGTTCCACTTATTAAACTAATTAATTTTATCGTGTACGTTATTTTTTCGCCTCATCGTGTTGTACAAGAGGACGCGTAATGTGGGAACAACAGTGCCATAATGGTCGCATAGTTTACGCTCGAATGGCCGCTTTTACTTCGCCACTTGATAAGAATTTGAGTTCTGATTAAGTTGTTCGGTATGAAAGAGCTCGTTACTCATCCAACAGAAAAAAAGGTCGAGCCAAGGAGTTAGCTGAAAAGACGGTGGTGAAACGCTACTAAGTAGGGTCATCCGTATCAACTTCAAAATTTGGCTCGAATTCATTGAAAATAACAACATTAAACACGCTTAAACAAAACCCTCAATTTGTTATTGATATGAATTATTTTTGTTTCAAAAACACAAACACATATCTGCGTGTATCACATTTCGTTTTAATAAGAAACTTGATTACTGAATAAAGTATGCCTTTTCTCTTTTCTTCTTTTCTTCGATCGTTCATTCTTCGTGGAAAAGTAACTAAATTGTTATGGATAAGTTCTATATTGTTGAGGGGGATTCACTTTTTACAAACTTCTTTTTGGGTATTTCGCCTCAAAAATTTTTGTCTAAAAAAACACAGAATTTCCTCATGTCTTTTATTAGATTGATAAATATTGCTCCTATTTCGCAATAAGAACGAATTATTTATCAAGAACTATCACCTAGAGGGTATCCTGCGACACACTTAGGCTCAAGCTGTAAGAGAAAATTCCAATTA